CTTCGGCGGCTTTGGCGACGTCCGATGCAAGATCGAAACCGCGACGTTGGAGTTCAGTAAGAACTTCAAGCCGGGCCTGACACTTCGCATATTCGGCTAACATTCTTGACTGCTGGTTGGCCGCATCAGCATCGGCCCTATATTGGGCCACCATATCGTTGGCAGTCTCCTCGGCCTGAGAAACTTTAGCCTCAGCTTCCCGAAATCGATTGGTCCATAGCTCAATTTCAAGGACTCGAGCCTCATTGGCCAACGTCAAGTCCGCAACCTCTTCCCGAAGGGAAGTCTTCTCCGACTCCAACTGTTGCACCCGGGCTTCCAGTTCGGCTTTGTTCTCATTAAGTTCGGCTCTGCTCTCGTCAAGCTCGGCCTTAACCCGATTAAGCTCGGCTTGCACCCCCCTTAGCTTACAACCGAGCTCTTTCTTTGCTTCCTCCAGCCGGATAGCACAGGACGCGTGCTCTTTATTCAAAAGGTCCAATCCGGTCCGGCTTTCTAGCAGCTTCTCTTCAAGGACCCGGCGCCCCTCTCGCTCCGCCTCCATTTTGTCCTTGATTCGGAGGAACATCGAGTGATATAGCACCGATGCCTGCAAAGGAAAAGTCTAAAGAGTCAGTACTGGGTCACAAGGCAAAAATATTAGAAATAAAGGAAGAAGCAAATACCTTGAGCTGCGCCTGCTGGGCTTCGTTGAAAAGGCATGTCCAATCTACAGCCTCGGTCGCAGCCCGGTCTTCCTCCGTCATCAGATGATGAAGATAGCTTGCAACCCCGACCGGGGGCCCCAGAGCCCGGACGTCTTTGGGGATAGCAAAAGTTACTATCCTGTTACAGTCCGGGTCCAGGCTCGGAGCTGGAAACCTATCAACAAGCTTGTTGACGGCCGAAGTCCCACTTGATTCGGCCTGAAGGTCTTTCCGGGGGATTTCGAGCCCGAAAGTGTTGGCGGAGGGTACCCCATCAAAAAAGGTCTCGAAGCTACCTCCCATCATCGGGATGTCGTCCGGCAGCTGCCCCCAAGTCGAGGAAGATGGGGGGGACGTAACCGGGTGATCGGTACCCGGGGATGCCCGCGCAGGGGCCGAGGGTTCACTAGCATCCTCAACCCTCACGTCCTCGGGAGGAGCCTCAACTGGATGGACCACCGGCTCAGGGTCCGGTCGAATGGACCGGTGGCGGACGAGCTCCGGCTGCTCCTCATCGTCATCCTCTTTGTCATCCTCTTCCTCGGAGGACAAGACGATTTGGCTTTTTGGTTTGCGGGCGGCCCTTTTTGTCCGCTTAGTCTTCCTTTGAGGCTCGTCCGTACCGGACTCCCCGGGCCTTTTATTTTCTCCCGGAACCGGAAGGGGGCATAGTATTGAAGACCTCATCTCCGCGTCCTTGGGCAAGCCTGCAAAACACGAGGGTTATGATGCATTCCCGATATACAGGAAAAAATGCGCTACCGGTCAAAAAGAAGGCTTACCATGGTTTTTCGCCTCCCACCGACCTTTGGAGATTTCCTTCCAGTTTCGCTCCGAATATGGCCGCTGGGCCACTATCTTGTTTACCCAGCCGGCCAGATCCTTGACGGCAGCTGGAGTTTGGGTCACCGCTGCACAAGAAAAGGGGGTTTCAGGAAGAAGTTGAGGAAAACACGCTCTAAAAGATGAACAGTGAGAAAATACTTACGTTTGAGGTTCCACCTCTCCGGAAATGGCATGCAATCGGCCGGAATCAGGTCGGACGTCCTGATCCGGACAAACCTGCTCATCCAGCCTCGATCTTTGTCTTCATCGATGCTGGAGAATGGGGGTTTGCTAGCCCGGCGGGCCAGTTTTATTAATCCCCCTCGAAATATTCGGGGGCTGTATAGTCGAAGAAGATGGTCGAGGGTAAAGGGGAAATCGCCCTCGACTCTCTCAACAAAAAACCGAAAGAGATATACGATCCGCCACATCGAGGGGTGGATCTGACTTAAGGTCACCTCGTACCGCCGGCAGAACTCCACTATGATGGGTTCTAAGGGGCCTAAGGTGAAGGGATATGTATATACACTAAGATATCCTTCAACGTGAGTCATAATCGACTCGTCACGGGAAGGGGCGACCAGGTCTTTCCCTTCCCATCTACATTCAGCCCTCACCCGGTCTAGGCAACCGGGAGTGATTAGACTAATATATTCCGATGCCGGTTCGCCGCGGCCCGGGACCGATGATGGGTTTTCAACCTGGAAGTCGGCAGATACCGAGCAACCAGTCGGTGTGAATGCTTTCAATGGGGGTTCTGGTGCATGTTCATCAGATCTAGCGGGGCTCGCGGCCGAGCTTGGTCTAGAAGGAACACTTTGTGAAGTTTTCGCCATTTCTTAAAGCTTTACGAAGAGATGAAAAGAAAATACAACCAACGCAGAATTTGAGAAAGATAGGAAATGCTGAACCTGGAAGGGTCGTTTATACTTTTTCCATGAGGCGGTGGCACGAATCGCGAAGCCACAGACACGAAGCGACAGATAATTAAGAGAAGCATTAAATGCCTGCAGCAGGCGTGGTCAGAGCACTCGATGGCTTTTTCACCTGGCGTATGGCCATACGTCACGGGCATCACGTCACCGGTCATATCGTTTATTATCATTACTCTCTAATAAACGAGGGGACTATCTGTATTAGGTGATACCCTTTTTTGCTTGAGCCCGACCGGGTTGGGTCCGGACCGGAGCAAATCGGGGCCATCGAACCCGACCTGGATGCAAGGTAGAACGACGGCCACGTCTACAGCCGAGGTCGAGTCATTTCGAGACCGTTACAGAGCTCGATAGGAGTCACCACCGGATGGAGAAACACACAAGGTCGGAAGCCGGACTCGTAACGGATAACCAAGCGTCGCCGGATATCTCGCCCAAACGTGATTTTCTCAACCACTTCAGGCCATTAAGGCGTAATTACAGGGATCCACGATGTAATCAATTGACCTACCTTATTTTTACCCTTAATCAGAATGTATAAAGGGGGATCTCTCTAAATTCTTGTGGATCATCAAGCACAATGGTTCTAAGCAATATTATATTCTGCGATTATTTACTTTAACAGCAATTGTTGAGTCTTTATCTTTATTTTCCTTAACCTAAAAACCTTTTGTATCTTTTAGTTCACGGATCCTTAAAACCCCATATAAATTCAATTGTTATCCGGATTCGAGGGTAAACAAAATCATTGAAGAGCTAGTTAAGGTGTATGTGGACAAATGGAAAAGAGAAACAAAAAAGAAAGGCTTAATTTTATCAGCACAAACTCATGAACTTGAGACATCCAGATGATAACTGCAACAAGAGAATAGCAAAGAGGTCCTAAACAGACCCAATAGTTTGACATCTTTAATAACATTACAAGTTGACGAAAAAGAACATATTTTAACTAGAGTGAATACCCTAAAACCCCTCTAAGTTATCACGTTTTTATCAGTTAAATACTTTAACTATTCAGTGTCCCCAACCCTCCCCCCCCTAACTATATCCCTCTATATATTAAAAACTCTTCGTCGATTTTTCAATGAAATATGTAAGGTAACTCGCCAAAAGGTACGTGGGAGATGAAATTTTACATAAAAATGACCCCAATTGGCCATGTCTAAGGGTTAATTACTATTACCCTGTTTAAAAATTTTAATTTTTCTATTTTCTTTATTTCTAGCCTCTTCATTTTTTTTATCTTTCTTCTGATGGGTTTCATCTTTAAAAAAATTCTTCTCTTGTTTTTTCTAAAATTATCTTTCATTTAGGTCTTCTTCTTTTAATACTATTTAGTCCCACCAAAAGCCCATAATTATTACTAAACCCTAACTGAAAATTTTGCCAAACCCTATTTTTTTAATCCCTAATCCCGTATTAAACTAAAATTCCGAATGAAATCGAAGGTTAATGGGAAAAATCTAATGCTTAATCAAAGTTTAGTGGCAAAAATCACGATTGAGACATGATGTAGCCATTATGGAGATGGAAGAGGATTGTTTATTAACAAATGACCATGTGTTTATCCCTTCACCCTCTTTCTTTGTTTTTTAACCTACAAACATTTACACATTTAATTATTCTTATTATTAGTTAAGCTTCTTAATTAAATTGATATTTAGATCAGGCCGACTAAATAGAAGGGTGTATAACACGCACCACTATAAAATCAAAGAGGGGTTTTTAATATATGGGGTATATAATTAAGGGGGTTTTTGGGGACAATAAATAATTTAAGTAGGTAACTGACAAAAACGTGATAGTTTAGGTGGGTTTGAGTGTATTCACTCATTGTGCATGACTAGAAGTCAAAGTAGAGCAGCACTAAAGATTGAGAAAACAGTAAAGGCTCAGTGAAAAAAAATTGAAAAAATTCACCCTTTCCTTATTGGTATTACATGAAAATTGGAAGAACTTTAATGCTCATGAAAGAGTAAAAAGCTAATAGTAACACATATTTCACTTTTCTCTCTTGTTCCATTCCTCACCAAAAGAAGGAAGGAATCCTTCTATTTGTCTAAAACACAGAGAAAAGATACCCCTCTCTCCATTTCCATTGTTTCTTACCACATGAAATGTATGAAATCTATATGTCATTGTTGAGTTCACCAAGCCTTTGTAAATACAAAATTCAGGCAAGTGGTACAACTAGACTATTTTGATTAAACTACAAGAAAACATATCCTCTGTTACTCATTCTTTGGTAGTACTTCACAGAATGAGGTCACAGGCAGTGGCGGAGCCACATGCACCCTAGTTGTGTCAACCGATACCCCTTCATCGGAAAATTATAGTGTATAGCTAAGTAATTTTTTCTTAACATATGTATATATATTATATATTGACACCCATTGACTTCTTCATTTCTTTACATTTTGACTCCGAAAATCTTGGCTCCGCCACCGGTGAGAAAATGACTAAGATAACATGGACCTTGAGTCTTAAAAATGAGTTATGTACAAAAGGGTTTTAGAATAGAGCTAAAACAAAAAGAAAAAAGTGGTGAAAAAACCTGCAAGTTTTGGAAGAGAACGCCAGCTACCATGACCATTTTTCTTGATAAATTCAATGAGCTTTTCATCTTCTTCAGGTGTCCATGGTCCTTTCTTCAGACCATTCTTATCACAACATGGTGTTCTCCCCATTCCTCCCTCTCTCATACACGCTCACACAGTGATAAAAAAAAAAAAAAAGGCAAGTCTTTAACTTTAAACAAGAACAAGAAAGAATGAGTATTTCTAGGAAGAGTGAATAGTAAACATAAGAAAATTGACCTATCAAATGGAGTAGGCTCAGTACGATCGAGTTGTGTGTAGAGTGTAGTACACACCAGCAACTCCAAAGCCGGCTACACATTAAATGCCATGATATGATGTGCTTTGAGAAATACTACTGTTTCTAGCTTTGCATAAATGTATTCATAAAAAGAATAGGAGCCGAAAAAAAAAAATTAATGATTGACGTAATAGAACAAGAAAGTTGCATTAAATGCATGCCTTTTTCAAATTCTTGAGGTTTTGGTTATTCAAATTTGATCATATACAGTACTCCTTAGAAGGCAGAATAAGCTTCCAGGGTCAAAAGCAGTGAGGAAAGGAGAGAAAACAGAGCATTTAAAGAGAGGAATCCCGTCTTATATAATAATAATAATAACAACAACGTTTGCAAGAATTTGCCGAGGTGGTTGCCTGAGTGGTTTTCACGTGGGAGACCTGAGATTGATTCCTATCAGAGCTCGTCACAACAAACTTGTCTAGTACGGTTTATATTTCTAGTGTGATTTACATTTCTTGTGTGTGATTGATTACCCAGTGCACAGAGGCGGACGTATGCTATATAGAGAGGATCACCGCCACTCGTAAAGTTAGGCAAAAACTCTATGTCTTTAGAAAATAGTACTCCGCCCTCCTTTTCAAAAAGATTGTCTTAGTTTGACTTGGCACAAATTTTAATAATGAAGGGAAGACTTTTGAGATATATGGTCTTAAATAAGCAATAGTTGTATGGCTATAAAACTTTTAAAACTTGTGGTCTGAAACTTGACATAGGATTTATGTGGCCGTTAGTGCTTCTTATTAACAAAATATTGAAAAGTGTCAATATGTCAATCTTTTTGAATAAAATATAGTAATATATTAGTAGTGGACACTCTATATACAAAAGATGTTTTGATTGAATCCAGAAGTAAACCCGCAACCTTCAAATCCTAGAGTAGCCCCGTGAGTACGCATGCCAGTTTTCCTGGAAGGTTTCAAAAAATAAATAAGTACTATAATTTGAGCATTGAGTTGATTTGAAATCAGCGTAGGAACTGAGAAATAAAAGTCAAGCAATTGGGCCACAACTAGTACTTCCGGGAGAAATTCAAAAATAGCCAGATTTATCACTGGTCGTTGAAAAATAGCCAAGTTTCAAAAGTCATCGAAATTTAGCCACTTTCTGAGCGAAAACACTGTTCAAAATCCGGAAAAATACGCCCGCAAATTTTACGGGAGTTCCAGCATAAGTATGCTTGAACTCCCGTAAATTTTACGGGAGTTCAAGAATAACTATGCTGGAACTCCCGCAACTTTTACGGGAGTTCTAGCATAATTATGCTGGAACNCCCGCAAAATTTACGGGAGTTCCAGCAAGTATAATTGTCCAGTATAATATACTGGAGTTTGGAGCACTGGTGCTCCAGTCTCCCGCAAATTTTACAGGAGTTAGCAAAGTATACCGGTCCAGCATAATATGCTGGAGTTCGTACACAAATGCACCAGAACTCTCGTATATTATACTGGACCGGTCCCTGTTGCAGCAAAATAGTGGCTATTTTTCATTGACTTGATAAACGCTGGCTATTTTTCATTGACCAGCGTGAAAACTGGCTATATCATGATATTTTAACAGTACTTCCCTGTCCAAAATAGACTTTTATTACCCATGTTCGAAGTATAAATACTTACCCGCACCCTTTTTACATCACGCAATCTTATCTCAATAGTTAAGAATTAAATGGAAATACATATAACCTAGTTATTAAGTGATAAATATGTATAGGAAAGGTGCATTTACTGATGCAAATAAGTTCTTATAATATATTTTTTAATGGTCTGACAAGAATGCGCGTGCTTTTGCTGGAATCTTAAAAGTACTCTAAAAATTAGTGAATAATCAAATAAATCTGCATCGCCAAAAATTAGTGATAATCAAATAAATCTGCACAGCTAAAAATTAGTGAATAATCAAATAAATCTGCACCGAATATGTCAAGTTCATGTAACATAACGAAGCAGACACTACGTAAGAGGAACAAATGCGTAGACAACATAATAAGTAAAGCAACGTAAAATGAGAAAAACCCCATTAACAAATGCAAATTCATCACAGAATTGAGTTAAATTCAGCTTTGGAATTGAGAGATCGTAGCCAAACTATTGGACCACAACTAAATAAGACTTGCTGTTTGACCAAAAAATATGGCACTCTTTGTTAAATTAATTAAAGGATAAATACGGTGAAAGGTGAATCCTAGTCAAGCATAATAATTTTTAGATCTAGCTAAGTGTTAAATGGCATAGTTTATTTAATGTGTGGAGTCGATTATCAGGTTATTAATTATATGCTTTTGAGAATAAACGAAGAATGAATGATGAGCAATAAATATAGGAAATGGCAGTAAATGTAAATAGGAGTAACGATTCACCCAAATATTGAATGATATGGAAGATTCTTCCTCCTGACAACAGAGTATGGCAATAAGTGAGGAAATGAACAATGCTTTCTTGGATCGTGTTAGTGGAAAGGGAGAATAATCGATAAAATCAATCACTATGGAAAGGTAAATCTTTTGTATTTTCTCTCAAGAGTCAACTTCTTACAATAGTTCTTCTCAGATGAATCTCACGTGCCTTTTTTCTTCTCCCCCTCTTTCTATTTATATGGAATATTCTCTAAAACCCTAAAAAGTACAACAAGGGGAATATTCAGGAGAATATTCCTGTCACTAGTTTCAAGACTACACTAGCTGTTATTCCTACTCTTCGTTACTCGACCTCGGCCTTTTCGGCTTGCTCAGCGACCGCTCGTTGTTGGGCTTTGGTCGACCTCGGCCTATCCGCCCAAATTGAAATACAGTCTTCTCACTTAATGATCCTCCCACACCTAACTTCCTAAGCCAGATTTTGACCCATACAATTAGTCCCTCCGCTTGTCGGGGTCGCATTGTGGTCGGCCTTGATGAGCGGGCTTTTTCAGTCGGCGATTTGTGAAAATTTTTTGGCGTGGTGATCGAGTAGAGGCGTCTGTAGCCGAAATAATGACGTGTCGCTATGAGATTCATGGTCATGGGGTTGGTGCAGGATGACATCATGATGCATGCGTCATCATTGCGCATCTTCCCGATGCGTTGCTCGTTCCTCAAGTCCCTGTCGTTTCGATTCTAGGGCCATTGGCGGTTGATTGCATCTATTCGAACACCTCTGAGATCTATAAATAAAGAGGGGAAAAATTCTCAATGGAACTTTTGCTTTCTCTAATTTCTTCAACCTTGCACTCGCTTCTCTTTCTTCTTCTTGCGTTCTTGCACCCTGCAATTGCAACCGTTGCCACCCTTTCTTCTTTTTCTGCTTCGTCGCATACATATTAGCGGAGAATGGATAACGTGGCCCCCGACGAGGAGGTGATCTCTGACCCTACTCCATTATCGGTGGCCATGCCTTCTGATGGCGGAGAATCAACGGTTATAGGGGATGAGATCTTCCCCGCTGTGGAATAGATCATTCCTCGTAGCCCTACTTCCAGGTCCGACTTCTCTAAGGAACCCGCCCTTGAACCGGGGTCTGCAAAATCTGAGATGGAGGCGAAGCACCTTGTCGCCCTTAGGACCAAATATGGCATTCCTGCCCACGTCAACATGGTTCTGCCTGGAGATGACGTGGTCCAAGTTCACCGGCCCGGGTATTGTGCATTTTATGCCTACCTATTCCAGATAGGTTATTCTCTTCCTCTTCCTCCATTAGCGAAGGAGTTCTGCCGCTACTACAACATCTGCCCGGCACAACTTTCTCCCTACCTTTATAAGATTTTTCTTATGTTGGCGAAGTTCGCGGAGCTGGCCGGTTGTGAAGTCTCTATCCGTCATCTACTGCACCTCATCGAACTGAGCTTCCATAGGGGCACGATGATTCACCTCCGCCACTGCGGAACCAAAGGGTTAGTGGCGGGGATGGATGATAGGACGAATCACCGGTTTTGGGCTCATTACTTCTTCATCAAAACCGAGTATGTGGTGGCAAAACCTAGCGAATTTCCTGAATAATGGAATTTTTCTCGTAAGTGTCATTATTTGGAGTACGTTCTTTCCCTTCTCTTCGTGTTTCGTGACTTGTTACGTTGTTGTTTTTTTGTAGCTGAGAAATACCCCCCTTCTTTAGTCGCTGATATCAGTGACTGGGTGACCCGCGTCTTGCCTCACACCGTAGGAATTCGTGACTGGGCGTCCTTCAACAAAAGGTTCGAGCTCAAGCCTTCGAGCGATAAGTCAGGTTTTTCCCTCATAACTACTTCGCTCTTGTTGTGGTGCACTTCTTTCTACCGCTTATGGCTTTCTTTTGACGCTAGGCCGAAGAACTTCTAAGAAGGCGAAGTCTCCTATCCCCGCATTTCGCCAGGCAGTTGCTTCAGTGGGGATGCAGTTTGTGTTGGCCGAGTCTGTGCGAAATACTTCTTCCCGGACTCCGATTTTAAGCGAGCCTGGTCGTCAGACGGCCATTCCATCAGCGGAGGTTCCGGCTTGCCCAGTGTTTCATTTAGTGGAAGAAAAATTGCCCGGCAAGGAGGAAGCGGCGCCGTTGAAGGCGACGAGTAGAGGCCATAGCCATGCTTGAGCGGCCAATAATTACGGACGTGGACGCGGTGTGCCCTTCAGCTGCAGGGACCTCTCCCTCACCGGACGTTTTCGTGGAAGATAGGCCATTGGAGACGACGGAGGCTGCTGTGGAAAGGGATACACCAGGGGAAGCCGAGGTTGGCTCTTCGTCTATTGGTGGTAGAGGAAAAACGATTGTTGTGGAGGATGATGGGTCCGGTTGCGATATCGACCTTGAGGAGGTACGGGCTTTCGAGGAGAGATTTACTCGAGTGAAGGTGAGGACTGAGGGATCCACTCGAAATATTGTCATCCCCTTGGATTTCAA